GCTTGACTTATATAGCATCTAAAATACTAGCTTCAATAATTATCGGACGCCTAACAAAGACTCGTGAACTGCAAACATGAGAAGATCAGGCTGACTTCAGACCTGGTTTTGGCTGCATTGACCACATACTCACCATTCGTCAGGTTATAGAACACATACATGCTTATCGGCGTCCGACAATCGTGGTCTATCTCGATCTTAAAGCAGCATTTGCCTCGGTAGACCGAGAGGTTCTATGGTAGTGTCTGTCATTAAAAGGCGTACCTCAGAAGTACATAAATTTTGTGAAGGCTCTTTACTCGAACACTATTAATCGAGTGACAGCGTGTGGCGAACCGTCATCTGCTTTTGCAACCTCAAGTGGTGTCCGTCAAGGCTATCCACTTTCTCCATTTTTGTTTAACCTCGTAATAGACCTACTGATAGAAATAACGCTGTCTTCGACTGAATTTTCGTTCATTGATCTCCTACCAGGAGGTCCACTTATGAACTTAGCATACGCAGATGACATAGTCCTGTTTAGTGAAGACGCTGATAAAATTCAGTCTTTTGATAGCACTGAGCAACAATGCCAGGATGTTTGGGATGCGTTTTCCCCCCTCTAAATGCAAGTTTTTGCTTCACAACTGGTCTGCGTCAACACTTGAACTAAAGATAGGGAGTGAAGTAGTCGAACGCGTCGACAACTTCACTTATCTTGGAAGTCTGATCAGCCCTATTGGGTTGGTGTCTGACGAAATCTCAGCACGGATTCGAAAAGCTCGCTTGACATTTGCCAACTTACGTCACCTATGACGAAGGCGGTGTATCCGTCTATCAATTAACGGACGAGTATACTGCGCAGCAGTTCGCTCTGTTCTTCTTTACGGCTGCGAAACGTGACCATTAAGAGTAGAAGATACTCGTAAGCTACTAATATTTGACCACAGATGCCTTAGAAATATTGCTGGCGTCTGCTGGGATCACTGGGTAAGTAATAGTGAGGTTAGACGCAGGGTATTAGGGAATGATGGTAAATCAGTTGATGAGGTTGTGGATCTTCATCGACGGAGATAGTTGGGCCACGTGGTACGTATGCCCGAACACCGATTACCACGACGTGCAATGCTAATCGGTGTTCGGGATTGTTGGGGGAAAGTTAGGGGCGACCAAACCAAAACGTGATATCAGTGCTTGAAGTCACTAACTTCCAGTCTGAGCCATGTTGGTAGATGCAGACTAATTGGTTTAGATCCGCGTGACCATCGTAACCAATGGTTGGAGACTTAGTGGCATGGTTCAGAATCGATCACAATGGCGTAGGTGTATATACTCTCTGTCTTCCCTTAAACCGTGAGATTAAAATTGCTTTATACCTTTCTTTCTACGAACTAATTCTTTCTTCCTGTACTATATCCTTATATTCAATCTTTCTTTTATATATTACCACCTCTGAATTAACTACTTCTATGAATCCAGTGTTCATCATGCCGAGCTACTAAGGTGAAGCAACTTGGACCGATGTATATATGTGCCTGGTCCTACGTTGTAGCTGATTGACTTCACCTTTCCAATCACTGGTTAACCGTGTGGACAGTTGACGATGAACTGTGTTTGGAAAAGTCATTTGTGGTTAAGAATGTTTTACAGAAAATAAAATGTGTAACGACAAGACAACTTAAGAACTTCATCTGTCGCAACCTCCATAGATGTTTTGAACAATTGAAATGGCAAAAGGAACTCTATTTCCGAAAAGTGGAGTATTTCTGAGAGAAACAAGATAAACGTACACTACAATTTGTAAAAGAGGCATATGACATTAGTTCATACATTTATCGAACATACCACTTAAACATATGGATAAAATATATCAAAAAACATAAAAACTCAGCGTATGTCATCGTATGATCTTTACTATTCGTGGTTTTTAAATAAATGACTCGTTTAATGACAAATAAAATTCCTCCTAGTTTATGACAATTCGGCTAAAACAACTGATTTAACTCATGATTCTTTCAGGAAATTTCAAAAAGAAAAATAAGACAGTTATTAAGCGATTACATGTTACTAACTACTAAAAACTATTTGGACGATTACAATCCTGTGATCACAAAACAATATCATCAGAATACTGAGTAATTATCAGACAGCTCATCATAACAGAAAACAATAGTGCTTGTGACAGACTGATCACTGAGTGGTGATAAATGTCATGTATGTTAGGTCCTTCTTAGTTGAGATCGAATCCTATCAACCAAGTTGCAATGTGGCCACTAGTTTAGGTGACTCGAAATTGAGCGCACAATGTTGAGATAAGTTGGTGACTGGAGGTAGTCGACAGAAGACCCTTGATCTGGACATTGGTCACCACCCACTGACCAATCAATTGTAAATATGTCCAAGTCATAAAGGTTGGATGCGGCCCGGTGGTAACAAACCTGAATGTGAAGCTGGGTGATACGGGATGGAATCCGTCAGGAAGCATCAGTTATCTCAAGATTGCTGAAGAGAGCCAAATGACACGAAACCTAGGTCTAGAGTTTTCTGTCGACTACCTCCAACCACCATATTATCTAGACAATAGTGTTAAATACTATAAATAATTATGCATAACAATTTATATGAACCGACCATTTAAATTCACTAATAAATTTGTAAAGATTTTAAAGAGTTCGAATAACTCAATTTACGTCAGAAACCAATTTTTATACGTCAGATAGAAGTCTAGTTATATAGAGAACATACAATTATAAAATGTTGAATATTTTTAGTAGTTTGAGCATTGAGGTTAACACTGTTTTGAGTTGATTAGATGAAAATAAAACTAGATAATTTCCTTCCGGAATTGTTGTTTTCTTTACAAATACTGTACAATATTTAATCAATTTTTTCTATTATATGCAATAAAAATAATAATAAACAACGAAAATATTCACTAGGAAGAGTAGATAATAAGTTCAACTGAAAACTGACGATTTCAATATCAGATGTCTCCAATTTACTGGTATATAACAGGAATAGACTTATACTTATCGGTGTATGCAACGATCTTTAAAATAACGCAGTAACTGAGAATAAGTTTTGACTCAGTGATTATTAAACGATACTAAAAAAACAATTAGTCTTTTGTAAAATCATTGTAATAAATTTAATTGGTCAGTCATAATTGATTTTTTTAGTCTTGTACATTTTTGGGAATGTATTGATCAATAAGTTACAGATATATTGAGAATACAACCAAATCTCCACAACCGACAGGAAATCATTAAGATTTGTCCTTTTTTCTAGAAATTTCCGAAGGACCCAGAGAATCTTCATAAAAGTTTATTTGAAGAAACCTCACACAATTTCTTCATTATTATTTCGAACCAACTGAAGAAATAAATAACTTTTAAATGTAGGCCTAGGGTGTAAGAGCAGATGAGAATCGTATGGGTGGCTGAAGGGGAATGTTGGCCACAGATCGGATAACGCTGACCGATTTCTAAAGCTCTGTGAGAATTACAATATATTTCAGATCAGCACCAACTTCTTTTCCTATTATCACCTACCTCTTTGCTACCTGTAATTCTTGCTCTGCTCGAAGTCGTCGGTTACCGATAGGGTGGCTGTCTACGGAACTGGAGTACCTATCCGTATTGATACTACAATAATATCTCCTTATCTTTTGTTTTAGAGTCCAACAAATTCATTGTCCTAAATGGACTGATCTAAATAAACTAGGTACAAATCCTGTTAAAACCAAATATCATAGTTATGTTCAAAGACTAGTTTTCGACCCACTGACCACATATTGACTCTCTATCAAATGCCAGAGCGCTACCACATTTGTTTCAGGATAACAATCATTGTTTCTTGACATCAAGGTCGATACCAACCTGTTGAATACGACTGCGTCCTGACATTGTCCATTGAAGACAAATGTGTTTAAGAAGTTTATTAACATGTTGAAGAATGAAAAAGCAATAGAGATAAAGTGGCAGCACAACCAACTCTTCCCATTTCTCTAACCCAATAAAGGGATAAATATCGATAACCTTAAAGAAACAACCCGAGAAGTATAGTGGTGTAGACCTGTTAGTTGGTAAGAAACTTTTCAACCTCAAATACGCGAATGGCACTACCTTATAGTGCGGTGATATCCATTCTACCCCAATAGTACGTAATTATTAGACAGTTACCGCCCTTAAATACAGCATTTAACCTGTACCTTCAAAATTAAAAGTACTTTCACAAGAACGCTACGAGATTGCGAACGAACTAATTTATGATGGGGAATGTGTATTTTTGTGCAGCTGTCAGTATCGTTAGTGTTATGGCATTTGAATTCAATCTATAGGTAGTAAAGATTAGAGCGGCTTAAACTAATCTAGGTTATTTCTGCACCTGTTATTATTTTAGTTTGGCCCTAAAGGTTGGGATGTACAATGTCAATGGGAGTATTTCTGATCTACGACGAAATACTGACCCCTCCAAGTTGAAGATGCTCGGTGACTTTCTGCACTCGAATACCATTGAATTCAATAAATTGTTCACACCTAGAGACGACACTTTGTTAGTTATCCTAGAGCTCAGCAATGTGTTCGAGCACTATCACCATCTTAACAGATAGGATTCAGTAGCTTGATTACGCGTTACGCATGTCACTCTAAAGGCCTCCACAGTTCCCATTATTTGCCGACTCTAATTAGTATGAAAAATAGCTTCATACGACTAGCAACTTCAGGTGCAACAAAACTCCCTGATTGTGAAATCAAGGAGAGATTATGGAAACTAATGGTTTGAGATATTATAGAGTATGGTTCAGAATAGTTTACGATTATTTTCATCATGAACAAGAAGATATCTGTCTTGGTTGGATCATCAACCGTACAATACCCTTTATTAAAAAGTTAACTGACTTAAAAATTGTAAAACCTTTCCATTTTCAATTTCTTAAAAATACTACCATTTTACTTTGTACGGAGCGTTTCTGATGTTCTAAAACATCAGAATTTACGCGTAATGTATAGAGAAAGTGATTGAATACACAAACATATATTTACGTCTACGCATGCCGAATAAATCTAGCCCAAATGGAAGATAATGAAATCATACCAAACCGTTGAAGATTTATTTAATACAAAACATCTCAAGATTGGATTTGTACAGAATAATTTGGTAGAAAACAAAGAAATGCAGCCAAATATATTTACATAAATGTTAATAACCATCGACCACTTGTAATTTAAACAAAAACTGATTGCTTCCTTCAAATATGAAGATTACATTTTACTATACATAAGGAAATTCTATATATATATATATATATATATATATATATATATAACTAGTTGGTTTGACCAATATATATACATCATTTTTTTATTCCTAAAGAATGTTCTAAATGTTCTCTATCTGTACCGAATTGATAATAATGTGGAGCTAATTCCAGCAACCAATCTGGTTGTATAACACTGACACCACTGATACAAGTACTTGACAGGTCATTCTTATTATTATTATTTGATTTAGTATCATTATTATAATCTAAATTAGGTGTGAGAAATACATTTGTAAATAAGATATAAGCAGGCCACCGTGTTGTAGACGAGTATAAAATACAGTTAGGATGTAAGCGTAATTGATGATCTCCTCTTACAGTTAAATAATGTGAACCAGATGAAGCAAGACGAGCAGCCTTTTGTTAATAGAATGTAAAAAAAAACAAATAAATAAATAAACTACATGAAACAAATACACTAACTAAAATGACATTTAACAGGCTATCATTCACATACATCACAGAATTGAACCTCATACACATTTCATCAATATATACACTTGTGTGATCTATAGAGATTTGTTCCTTTAAAAGATGATCGGTGCGAAAAGTTGATATTAACTACAGAACAACTGGGAACTAGAAAGAGTTGAGTAGATATCGAATTCTTCTTTCAAATTCTTTATAGTACATCAGCCTTTTTCAGGCTTTCTATTCGAATATTAATGGTTAAGTTAGAGGTGATAACTTCAAGTGGTGTTTATCAAGACTATCCAATTTTCTAGTTTTTATTTAAATTTTTCACAGACATTCTTTTAGAGATAACAATCTCATTATCTGGCTTAAGATGGGTCGATATTTTATCAGGAGACTTCCTTATTGACTTAAAATACGTAGATAACATAGCACCATTTGGTCAAGAGGCTAACAAAACTCAGTCTTCTTACCGCCCTAAGCAGAAATATAAGCATGTTTGAAATGCGATTGTATCCCTCCAAATGCGAAATGCTACCTAGAGACAAGCCTGAGTCAGCAACTAAATTAATGACAGGAAGTGAAGTGGTTAAGTGTGCTGGCCACTTAATTTGCTTTGGAATTTTCATCAGTCCTCGTGGTCTAATGTTCGGCGGAATCCCGGTCAAGGATTCAAAAAGCTCAACTGATTTTGCCAACTTGTGATGTAGGTAAAATACCCGTCTGTCATTCGAAGGATGAGTTTACTGCGCAGCAGTCCGCTATTCTACTTCATCACTCATAAATATGACCATTAATAGTAGAGGATATTCGTAGGTTACTAGTATTCAATCATAAGAATCCTCCAACACATCGCTCGCGTATTTTAGGACCAACGACTCAGCAACGCCGAGGTTAGGGGTAGGGTACTAGGTGAAGATGGCAAGTCAGTTGACAAGGTAATGAACGGTGATCAACTGAAGTGGTCGGAATACGTGTTACATATGCTTAACCATCACCTAACTCGATAGGCGAAGTTATTTAGTGTAGGAGTAGGTTGGAAGGTTAGGGGTGGCCGAACCAAAACGCAGCACCAGTCATGATCTTCAAGTGCTGAGACAAGCACAGTGCCATTAAACCACTGGGTCGGAATCGAATTGTTTATTATTGTGCCCCTGAGAAACACTAAATCAGGGTCAAACATCGATTCACTGCTACTTCGTATCCATCGCTGATATTACTTATCTAACTAGTCCAGAAGTACTAATCACATTTCATTTAAATATACCAAAAAGATATTTGGATTACTCTATATACAATGTTAGGACTATGAATGTCTATATCCAAGTGTTCCTCTCGTTGTTCATAAGAAATCAAAATCACACAATGTATATTCCAGTTGGGTAATAGATTAGAATCTACTGCTTATTGTGCATTATTCTGGTCACTACATATTGCAATATTTGAACATAAAGTATAATTCTTATATCGAATATCGCTAAATTTATGAACTGTATAAAAAGTTCATTTTATATATACGCTGATTTGTAATAATAAATGAATTATTTGACAAATTTAATTTTGTAAGATACATTTTATTTTTGGGTAATTATTATCACTTTTATTTTTCTCATAGTAATCATGACAATTTATACATAACTTTGATATTCAATCATATCATAGTCTCGCTCCCTTTCTCGTCTATTCATGTCATCGATGACTTGAGGTTGCACGAATATGAAAATTATTTGTAATTATTTGAAACCAGTGTAGTAAATGACTTTATGGATTTCACACATAGTATTACATACATCTAACATTTCTTTATTTCTAAAAATCAGTTAGTATGTGGAAGATTTAGTACACGTGAAATAATGAAATACATCCAATTCATCCCACAATATTTGTTGTTATTACTCTACAAAAGTTTATCGAGGGAACTAATTGCAATAATTCATTTATATGTATACTCAAGTTTAATTTCATGAGATTATCTTTTCTAAAGAAAGATAAACTTCATCCAAGCATTGGATATGCAGTTTCGTGATAAACAACAATTATGAAAACAAACAATTAAATAATTGAACATATGTAACTTTAACCAAACAAATTGATTGTCATAGAAGATACATAAAAGTATGCTTTGAAACGGAGAATAAATTTCTCCACTTATCACAAAAAATCATTGTTCACTGAATGAATTTAAATTGAAACAACCATGTCCAGTTGTGAGGATGTCGAGGAAACTGCCGTATCTGGGTTCGAAGTGTCACTACAACAATTGCAGTTACTGCAAACCATATCAGAATAATACAGTTAGTTAGCTACCCACCAATGGTAATGGATATTTGTCTAGCAATATGTGTGAATTCACTTGATTTGGAAGTGAATACTATTGAATTCCGATTTACTGTTTATGAATGGGATAGTTAACATTGGATAACCTAAATTTTCATGGTTCGATCCAGTATGGATGCGTGAGTTTTGCTTAGAAGTGCCAGTTAGAACAAAATATCTGTTTTTTTCTTTTAGCTAACACTAGTCCGTAATGAAAAGCATCCGTACAAAGGAAAATATATATATCATGAATTTAAACTTTACGGTTGCAGAAAACTGGTACTAGTGGCTGAGGTTTTCTAAAAAAAATTAAACACTATCCTAAAAAAGAATTATATAAGGTTAAAAAACAAAAGTTCAATGAGACAAATTGTTACTTGATGAAAAAATCCGCGAACAAGCGCCCTTAGTACTGGATTAGGATTTCCTTCAGGCTCTGCTTTTACCCAAGGCAACTTTAAACGATGAAACATGGAGCCAATTCGATCACGTAGTATAACTGCATGAGCTAGCCCACGTTCATTTAAACCTACTTCTCGACACCAGGTTCGAAGTTCCGACTTTGACAATAATTTTGATTGGTTCTCATAAGCAACAAATGCATTTAACTCTGTTAAATGATCACCTTGCTGACAACCGAACGTCTGCCTACGAATACGATCACTTGTGTGTTTATAATCAGAAACCGTAAATATTCGTTGAATCTAAAAAGCCAAGCAAAAATACATAAAATATTCACGAAAATTCATAGTTATATAAAAGTCTCAGTATAATTTTATTACGTACCAATAAATAACAGATTGTAATTACTGGAATGTAAAGTTATACCAAATTAATTACTCACTTGCATTAAAGAGACAATCGCAGCAATCTCCTGAGAACATCCTTCATCACAAGCGCCTAATAATGCAGCTGCAGTTGAAGGTTGGTCTAAACCACACGTTGTAGAAACTTCTGCTAATTTTAAACCACGAGGAATTGTAAGATGACCAGAACTAGCATCGAGAGCACCTAAAGCAACAAGTCGTTCAGCAGACTGACCTACATGTGATGCAGGTGGTGGATCGAGCCAATCAAACTGAGCTAAACGATCGATACCAAGCGTTTTTAAACGTAACAAGGCACCAGATAAATCAACACGTAAAGATTCTGGTAGTGTAAAACGTGGCAAGAGTTTATTGTATGCCTCTTCAGTATAAAGCCGATAAGCCTGTAATATCATCATAAGTGACAGAAAAAAGGACTATAATTTATTGTAAATGTTAAAATCAATGATATTTTAATTACACACAATTAGTTATTGTTATATCTTGTGGCTTGTGCCCTATTAATATATAACGTAATGATACCGTCAACTGGAGAACAGTGACTTATCGACCGGACCAATGTCGCATAAACCCATACGATCAGTCTAGAGTCCTTACCGGTCCTTCTTTCTGCCTAGCCCTGCCCATTAAGTCCAGAACATCAATCTCAGCCTCTGAGATATGAATCATGTACTTCAAACATACTGGGCTTATATACAAACCAAGCAGACAGCATCGCACCACAAAATAGATCACAACATTTGTACAAGATCTAGCTAAAAGTGTCCGTGAATGTGTGAGACTGTAATTAATAAATTGGGCATAACTCAAGAACGGTAAATCGTATAATAGTTTGTGGGTCAAAATAAAGTTTATAATAGGAGGAACATGAATATGCACAGTTTAGTTACTTAATAATTCTACAATAAAAATATATGTATCGTATTGGTCCACAAATAGTTCTCAAAAGTTACCATTCATAATTCTCGTCGGGATATAACAGTTATTACTTAGAAACTATTATCGATATATGATAATAAACAAGGACTTCTATGGCCGCTAATACTGTATGCGGATATTAGCACTCAAATGAGTAAACGTGACAGTCACAAATCGAAAAACAGAATAAAGAGCGAGAAGCGGTTATTGAGTAAGTTTTAAAATATGTACAGGAAAACAGGGGTATTTATGGTTTTTAGTCTGGGCTACATCATTATAATCCAACCGATCCGCTAGTAGGGACTTATATAATGTTCAGTAATGGCATGCCATGTTGGTATTCTAGAAAGTTCCATCGACTCCTGTAGTACCTCTGGAAGCTTCGTCGCGCTTTCTGGGAGGTGTCCCGACAAGGATAAAGATGTAACACGACTAGTGTTATTGTATGTAGACGTGATTTAGTGATATATACTTACAGTTGGCTCTTCGAATCAGATGGAAGCACTGTTAGTGAACTGAAAGTATGGTTAATTTCCGTTTATTCAGTGTGTATTTTATTGTACGCACGTGAAAAAAAGAACTTTATGAATATCATAATACAACTTAGATATATGGAAATAATCTCATGGTGAACCAATTTGATTGGTAAATATGTATATTGAGAGTTTTATATGATCATCTTTACCTACTACAAATAATATGCTTTCGCTATTACATTCTTTTAGCACTAACATCAACTAATTGGAAAAATTAACAGAAGTAATTTAAATGGGTAGGGTAGCTAATATACTTGCTAATGGCGAGTTAACAGACTTTAAAACTATTATTATTATAAATGAAATAACGATGTAAATAAAAGTGTAGCCAAGAGATATAGGTAACTCAACCATATTTTGCTAACCTGTCCAGTTCTTGTACGTCCGGCTCGACCAGCACGTTGACGTGCTGAAGCTTGAGATGTAGGTATAGTAACTAAAGCTTCAAGCCCATTGACAGGATTATACGCTCGAATTCTTGAAAAGCCACAATCAATCACATAAGAAATCCCAGGAATTGTAACTGACGCTTCCGCAACATTAGTGGCCACAATAACTTTACGACAAGACCGAGTTGGTCGTTCAAAAATACGAAGCTGTTCATGTTGAGGAAGGGAACCATGAAGCTGTAAGCAACGTAAAGGTGGGTAGTTAGTAGGTAACTTTGTTTTGGAACTTTGTTGCTGAGTATTTAAGAAACGCTCCTTGCGGTTCCGGTATTCTTCAATTAGATTGCCAACCAGTTGGGAAACTTCATTCTGACCTTGGGAATCAAAATAAAACTGAATGTAAGTATTTTCCAAAAAAGAAACACGAATCAAAATTGCAAATGAGTTTAATGCCACCAAATTTCGTTTCAGTACAACTTCGTACAAAAACGCACACTAATAAGATAAACAGGAATACCCACAACGTTACAGCTACAAAATAGCCATGTTCATCTAAAATCACAACCAATATATAATTTCAGGTTGAAGGAACTATATATTAACTTAATCAGCAGCAAATTTATTCAAATTTATAACAATTATTATGTCAGGACATCAGTTAAATTAGTATGTCAACTGAAACTTGTCAAATCTATCAGTAATGCGACTAATGAATAGAAAAGAAAAATAAATAATTACTGAGTATATACTTATCAGTTATCCTTCAAAACAGAACAACCTGTCGACTACAGAAATCTCAATATGCATAATCATTACTAAAAAACTGATGGTAAACAAAAGTCGATATCTTTATATTATCATCAATTCCTAATATCGATGTCCAATAGGAACAGATTTCTGCAATTTTAGTATATTGTTCAACATGATGTCAACTCAGTTGATTATGTAAAAAAAAAACTTAAAAAGTTGTGGAACAAAGTATAAATACGCACACGATGTTATTGCAAAAATATGATAGCATAAAGTCTTAACTGATAAAAAAGTACTTCTATTATGTTTTCCTCTCTGAAGTAGCATGTAGCGGGAGATAAACAAAGCACACCAATCAATAATGGAACATTGAAATAAAGTGTATAATACATCTACCTCAAAATAAGCAAAATATTTTGATGCATAGACGTATTCTTAAATATTGCAGCTAAGTAATCAGGTCATGTGAACAAGCCTAATCACAATAGACACAATAAAGTCTAGACTAATAATTGTAATTAACAGAGACTAAGGATGAAATTTCCTTGTCTATAAGACATGATTTATAACATAACCTAACAAAGTAGATTTTATGACGTACTATTTAGAGATAAAAACTGAAAAAAGCAACTAATTGGGACAGACTGATTGTATTTACTACTTAACAAGAAAAATACTGAAATGCGAACAAAACTGAGTCAAGTTAGTAATGTGAGTAGTAAACAACATGTTGAATTTGACGGAATTGGTTCCTTTTATAAATTTGAATAAAGCCAGAACAAACATTGATACAGAATAATATGAATTCATTATATTTGATAATTCACTTTTAACAACATATCTGAGTTTACTTTTAACAGCAGATATTTGAAAAAGATTAATTTTTATCATATCGATTGTTAGTGTAACAATAATTTTTTTTAAAGCAAACATTATAGTTAATACAGGGATTTGTTGTTAATTTTTGTGGACTATATTCATTGAATGTAGAGTTCACACTTGACCTTTGCTATATGACCATGAACTTTTCACCTAATTTTATCTTTGTAACAATTGAATATTGCAGTTTTGGGTAATTTTTACTCATAGGTCAAATAATTTAAACTCATTATTATCTTTTAGTCATAGATAAAAAGAGTATTACAACAAAATATGTGTTTATTGTGAGATTCACTGAGAGGACATAGTAGTAGAAGTAATTTATTTGGTCTATCTTAACAAGCATCTTTCAAGTGACTATTTAGAATCCATCGATTATGATATTAAATTTCCGTTTTCGAGCACGTTCCAAAGAACGTGGAACTGAGAGGTGCAATAGATCGGTATTTATTTGACACAAGACATACCACTGACATTTCATAAGCCTTCAAAATCATTAGCAGACGAAAAAACGCAGCGTTTTTTGGTTTGCCGAAACAATACCAATAAAAGCCGCAAACCTGACTTCTGTATCTAGAAATAAACAGTAATAAACTTATCACTATCTTGGTAAATTTTTTTTCATTATCATTATTTTATTAGTGCTTATTTTGTTATGGGGTCTTCTCTTAACTAATTCTTATTTTATGTACACCAAAACCATTCCTGCACTTATACGTTTTCATTCACTTAATTCTCGCTTATTCATTTTTCATTCCAGTGATCTTATGTAAATCCATCATAACATCTAAAATTATCAAACAATCTATCTTATCCGTCTCCGGACCTCATTTAATTAATGCATCACCTACCCCTTATGTTTTTGAATACCAACTCCAAATGACCTCTTCTAACCTGTTCCTGCATTTATATATGTGGATATTATTACTAATCTCATATGGCAAATATTTACTTCCGCAGTTCCATAAGCTTCCTGGGAAAACTTAGTTTCAAGTCTATTTATATATCAGTATAAGATATTTAATACGATACCAACATACCGATAAAATGAGAAAAAGTTCCGCAAAAAACTTCATTGTGTGTGTTACAACTTATTAATCAAAAAGCATTCTGCACGTTATTACTCACTTGTTCATTTCGCTCAAAAGGTTTAAACACCAATTTTCATGAATATATATATATATATGCCTGTCGGTGTAATAAACCACATCATTATTCACTACAAATCGGTACCTAGAAATACCAGCTGATTAAAAACGATCAATAGAAAGCCCATATATATCCCAGAACCAATATAAACCACCGAGATATTTTTGAAATATTTGAGGAACTATTGTCACTCTCAGAGATCTAAACCTACATCACTAAGAGACAGAATGTCAGTTTTATGAAGAAACTAATCAATATTGATTTCATTCAGTACAAATGTATAACTAGGTTATGAAGAATACAAAAACAAATTACAGTAGAATTATTACTGACTCATACTTAAAGTTGGTGTGATAATCTCTTAACCCACTGAGCTGTAGTGAAATGTTATCAAATGCTTATTCAACGCAGCTATCTTTCATTCTGTAGTACCACGTCACAAAATGCCCATCTCTAGTTTTCAATCCCATTTTAATGGCAATAAATGCTTACAATGTAAACTATTAGAATGTTATACGTAAAACGTGTGCAAGCTATTGGTGCTGAAGTCGGGTGGGTGATAAAATGTTTATTAACTGGAAGACAATTCTCACTGAACACACACGTCCTTTGAGAAATAATCGAAAATCTCTAACCTCCAGACAGGTTAAAAAGCAGTTCATTAGTACACATCGAAGAGCTAGGTATCGTTAGGTGTGTGAGATACCGTTCACTTATGGAGTTAAGATTTGGCAGTTTTTTCTTCCAAATTATATTTAAGTTGTAAAAAACCCACATCACTGCTATGTACAACTCTTATCGATCATCATGAAAACTGAAGTTTCATCGTACACAGTGTATTGACTATGTTGTGACATATCAAAGAATCGAATAAAATCAAGATAACGCAAGTAGTGATGAGATACTATTCAACTTTTTTTTTAAATCTCTTTTGGATTAAAGATTAATGAGAGTAAGAAAAACAACCACTATTCCTTGAATACACACAGGTTTCAGGATTCTCTAAATTACAATCGTTCTGTTGTATGCTACAAAAATTGTCAATGATCTTTCTAACTGTATTTTTTTCTCATTTGCAACTATTATGTTTCTGCAATTCTGAGTTGTACATTAATATGATGTGAATGAACCTTTCCTTTGAAATTTCTTGTAAAAAGTAAAGTCTTTCATACATCACATTTAGACATCTGTGAAAAAACAGTCAAGAAAATTTTGTACAGCTTGAGTAATATTCTTAATTTAACAATTATTTGCATCCAGAATGTTTACCTGTGACAAAGACAAGTATATCACCACCTAATGGTTTTGTTTCATGTATCCGAAAAACAGTCTCTTTAGCTGCAAATAAATAACAAGGAACGGGATCAAGTGAGTAAAATATGGACACAGGATATTGACGTCCTTCCACATTTAAATGTGAAACAGGAGTTAATTTTAGCCCTTGATTTTCGGTTTCAACTTCAGGTATCTTCATTTTTGAAAAATACTCTATAAATCTAAAAAAGAAATAATAGTTTTTTTAAGAAAAAAGGACATCAGACAAACAGTTTTCATCAAATTTATTACTTACTTACGCCTGTTACCGATCGTAAAGTAGCATAGGCCACCCACCAGCTTTCTCTATCCAAATCTGTTCTGGACTCAGCTTCCTACTTGCTTCCTGTTGCTATTCATCCTTGACATGTCTGCTTCCAATTACCAACACAATGTGTTCCTTGTTCTTCCAATTGTTCTTTTACCTTCAGGATTCCAAGTTAGCACTTGTTTCGTGATGCACTTCGATAATTTCCGTAGTGTATTTCCTATCCATATATTACATCTTTTACTTATCTCCTCTTCAGATGGAAACTGGTGTATTCTCTCAAACAGTAGACTGTTGTTGATGGTTTCCGGTCAACGGACGTTCAGTAGCTTACATAGACAATTGATTATAAATATCTGTACCTTTTTGACGATGGTTGTGGTAGTTCTCCAAGTTTTAGCTCAGTACAGTAGAACTGTCTTGACGTTCGAATTGACGATTCTCACTTTGATATTGATTGACATTTGTTTTGAGTTCCAAATGTTCTTCAACTGTAGGAGTGCTGTCCTTACTTTGCCAATCCTCGCCCTTACGTTTGCATCCCATTCTCCTTGTTCAACGATGATGCTGTTCAGGTACGTGGAACGTTCTACCTAGCTGTTTCATATTTCCTTCTCTTGCAACTTTCTTCGCTGTCATTGCTAGATCTTCCACATATTTCTGCTTGTCAGACCGAACTCTCTCCTTCATTTGCTTGATTGCGTCTCTGTATTCAGCTTGTGCATTGACTTGCTCCGTTCTTGTCCGGCTGTCTTCAATTGATGTCTTCTTCTTCTTCTTCCTTTCTTGAATCCTGTCCAGAGTTTCCACGGAGAACCATTCCTCATGATGATGCTTCTTGTGACCCAGAACCACTTGATACGATGTAGTTAGTGCCTCTTTCATTCCTTTCCTCCATAGTAGTTTCTTCGTCTTTGAGTAGATCTTGTAAGTCTTGAAACCTGTTGTTGAGAGCCATCTTGAATTCGTTGAGTTTGTCATTATCTCGAAAAAGTGTCTACTGACCCTTTCTTATGTTATTTGTTCAGTTGCCCAGTGCTTCTTTAACTTCAGCCTCATCCTGGCAACCACCAGCTAGCGGTGATCTTAAGCTATGTCAGCTCCTCTCCTGGTTCACACGTCTTCTATTGACCTTCTGAATCTTTAAGTGATGCGAATATGGTAGATCTGGTTCTGTGTAGTTTAACCCGATTGAACACATGTAGATTTGTGTATGCGTTTGCGTGGAAATACTGTGCCGCCTATAACCATTTTATTGAACGCACATAAATTTGCAACTCTTTCACCTGGAAGTGCCTGTATAGACCAGATATTCACACTATATCAGGTCCTAGAACATATAAGTCCTCCAACTCTTAAAGAAGTTGAAAAAGCTATAGGAAATCTGAAACGAGGGAGAGCAGCAGGCCCTGACATGTTTACTCCTGAGATTTTTAAGGATGGTGGTCCAGTATTAGCAGTGAGATTAACTGAGGTCTTAGGTAGAATTTGGGAACTGGACCCAATCCCATCTGACTGGTCTTAATCACTGATTGTGCCAGTCTATAAGAAAGGACAAAAGTCCTCTTGTGACAATCACAGAGGAATCAGTTCGACTAATATAGTGTCTAAAATATTAGCTTCAATGATACTTCGACGCCTAACTAAACCTCGTGAACAGCAGACTAGAGAAAACCAGGCTGGTTTTCGACCTGGACGTGGTTGTATAGACCACATATTCACACTACGTCAGGTTCTAGAACACAGACACACGTTCAGACGCCCCACAATGGTAGTATTTCTCGACCCTAAGTCAGCATTCGACTCTGTTGATCGTGAGGTTCTATGGCAGTGTTTGTCACTGAAAGGAGTACCAAAGAAATACATTAACCTTGTAAAGGCTCTCTACTCGAACACAACTGGTCGAGTAAGATCTTGTGGCGAATTGTCATCAGAATTGGTTACCTCAAGTGGTGTTCCTCATCTAAATTTCCAGGAGTTGGACTTTTACCGGGAAATCCACTTGTAGATTTATAATATGCCGATGACATAGTTCCATTTGGTGAAGACGCTGAAAAAATGCAGTCTTCTGACCACTTTAAGCAACAATGCAAACTGTTGCTTCATGATTTGGTTGCATCGACACCTGAACTAATGATAGGGAGTGAAGTAGTTGAGCGTGTCGACCGCTTAACTTATCTTGGGAGTCTCATCAGCACGGATACAGAATACTCGACTAGCTTTGGTCAACTTGCATCATTTATGGCGTAGGCGAGATATCCGTCTATCAACCAAAGGACGTGTTTACTGCGCAGCACTTCTTTTCGTCCTACTTTATGGCAGTGAAACATGACCGGTAAGAGTAGAGGATATTCGTAGGTTACTAGTATTCGATCGTAGGTGTCTTCGAAGCATTGCTCGTATATCCTGGGACCACTGAGTAAGTAATTCAGTTGTTAGAAAACGAGTACTAGGTAATGATGGCGAAACAATTGATGAAGTAGTGAAACTTCATCACCACCGACTGCACCGACGTGGGATGTTTTATGGTGTAGGAGTAGGTTGGAATGAAGCTAGGGGTGGCCAGATCAAAACATGGCACAAATTCACTGACAAGTGGACTGAGCCATGTAGGTAGGTGTAGACTACTTGGTTGGGGACCGCGAGATGATAGCAACGGATGGTTAGAGACCCTGAATGACATGGCTCAAAATCGTTTGCAATGGCACAGATGCATCCACTCTTTGTGTTCTCCCAAATTCTAATCTCCTGATTCCTCCTTGTCTCTTTTTCTCTTCCCAAATTTATTTCACTGGATTATACTGCTTGGATAACATTTTCAAACCCTAATGTTTCCGATTACTGCTTACACTTTTACTACCTCTACCACTATGAGATTTGAATTGACAATTGTACCTCTGTGCTAATGTGGTATGGCAACTCGAACTGATGTACGAATTTCTAAGTTGTTGCTGACTGACTGACACCGTTCTTGTTGCTTTCTCCCAGTCGGCCTATGTCGTCCCATGATATCTTCATATCCGGTGTTGTCCACTCCAAATTTTCCTGCTTTTATGAGCAGCACTAGTGAAACTCCTTGCGTGTGCAAAGCATTTTCTTCCTTATAGTCAGAGTACAACAGCATCTCGACTTTCACCGTGAGGCGTCATAATTCTTCCACCAACTTCCAGGGCAGAGTTTAATTTGTCTATCCTGGTTAGCGTTATTTTAGCAAGTTTGTCTTCTATGGGATGAGGTTGCTGGTCCCACGCCCGACCTTCCTACTTTACCTGAGCTTTGGACTGGTATTAGCCCTAGAAGAGCTACAGGTGGAGTTCATAATGATTGCCTAGAAATAACTAACAGTGATGATCTAAAATTAAGTACAGAGTGGAAAGTTTAAAAATATATTTGATTGTTGTAATTAATATTAACTCCAAATGCTGGTGTGTGCTTGATTTAAAGAAGTACCGAGCCTTTTAATGAATGTTAGGTAAGCATGCTACATACTATATTAATTTTTATAAAACTTTGGAGGATATATCTATTCATCATTTATATATATAATTGTAAGCATATAAAGTTGATTGATTCAGTGAAATGAGTAGATGAATAAATTATGAAAGGGTGATCACTGGCAAAATGATTAAATTACTACAGATTATGTCGGTTATTTTTACTGACGCTGAGATGATGAATTTTACCGAGTTACAAAAGGTTTTTGTTATAATCGAACGAAGAATAAATGAATGGTAACTGCTAGAGATTATTTGTGGATTATAATTATTATACATATTCTTATTAGATGACTATCAAGTAACTAGATCATATGTATATTCATATTCCTTTTATCATAAACTTTCATTTGACCTATTGACTACTATTATACGATTTACTATTCTCAAATTATTAGTTACAGTCTCTTACATTCACAGTTATTTTTGGCTTGATCTCGTATAATTGCCCTTCTCTATTTTATGATGTGATGTGGTCTGGTTTGTTTGTATATAAACCACGTATGTCTGAAATATTCGATTCATACAGTCGAGATTGAGATTGTGTTCTGGACTCAACGGGCAGGGCTAAGCGAGAAGGACCAATAAGGATTTAGAGCTGAGGCAAGGCTGCTAGGGTTATTTGACGTGTCATTGGTTTAACACAAGAACAAGGTCATACAAGTCGGTATTTTGATCGATTTTGTCACGTGACAATTGACAGGAGCAAAAGTCATAACGGTTTTACTTCGATATGGATTTGTTGATGTAGCTAATGGATGTGTACAGCATAGGAGAACTACAAATGGATAATGGATTGGTGCATTAATGATTAAGGAGTTTGAATCGCATACACTATGCAAACGTCCGAACTCTATTTTATCTGCTTTAGTTTGGGCAAACAGGTAATTCATCAGCCTTTGTTAGCGAAGCCAGGGATACGGATTTTTAATTGGTAAATGAGTTTAATAAACAAATGGTTTAAATTCACTGCCTTTGAAGAACGAATTAAGCCTGATGATTTCATTGAGCAGACAGTTTCTAAGTTATATGTAGTTGTTTTTTCGTAAATGTAATTTTGAATGTAAGACAGCCACAGTAATTAAGACCTGTGATGGACAGATCACTTAATGATAACCAGATTAAAAAGGATGCAATAGGTGTTTCATAACGGTTAATGAAATAAATATATGGCATAAAACAAACACTTTTAAAAACATAAATAAGGAGAAACTGACTTTTCAGCTTCTAAAGTAGCAGAAGAGATTATAACTCGCAAGTCAATTGGCCGTTTACGTAATACTTTCTTAATAAGACCCAACAAAATATCTGTTTGTAAAGATCTTTCATGAACTTCATCTAACATGATTACACGGAAGCGAGTGAGAAGCGGATCACGCAACAGTTCCTGTATCATCATACCCTCGGTAAGATATGAGATGACGGTTGAATTTGGTGTCCAACATTCCTTTTTCAAAAAACATTGTGAAAACATATCCATATATATTAAACCGAATTTCATTGAAAGACAGATAAAGGAATTGATACTGTTAGGTTTTTTGCAAGAAGTTGGGTACAGGAGAAACGGGGACTCGTTAGACATACAAAAGTCTATAAATTTACTCGCGTTTAAAATGGATTACATATTTCTAAGACATCATAAATTTCACAGATCCGTAGACTGACTTTCCAAAGTTACAAGTGAAGCACACTTCACTCCTGCACGATTCAAAGTGGATATTAATCCTTTTAGGTAGGCTAGTATTTGAAGATTTAATATGAATAGCGAATCCTAAGGACACTCTTTATTACTTTTGTTGGAAGAAATACGAATATTACCCCAATCAGTTATGGGATGATGTTTTGGGTTCCAATCCCATCCCAATCGCCAAATTTGTTAGGTTTGAAGCTATTACGAGTTCACTTAGTATGCGAACGGAACAAAGATTTGTGACCGAAGACCAATAAGCTAGATATTCTGATGCGTCCCAGCCCCGCTAACTAGAGGAAGTAGTCCAAGCTTGGAACGGGAAAGTATATTCCGTAAGCCAGAAGCACGAGTGAATAATAACAGACACAAATCAAACGTGTATGTACAGCATAAAACTGTCCTTGAGAAGCGTTGCAAAAATAGCATACTAAAAATACACAACGGACCAATAGCGTTAAAGATTCTCCCAAGTGGGAAGTACGACATGAAGGTGAAAAGAGCGCTTTTGAAGCGAAAACAAGGGAATTTAAATTTCCAAAATAAAATTATAAAATTAAGGCATTTACCAAGTGAGTTCTGGGAATCTAACCTCCCCAACAGTATAGCATTCAAATTATTGAGACAAACAACGCAATAGCAATAATTATTCGAATACAGTTTAATATACACATAATAAATTAATCAGAACGGATGGGTTGAGGAAACGAACCACTGTTTAACCTTCTAACCTATTATCGTTTCGTACACGAATAGTAGGTATATTACACTGAATAAACGTTGGTGTTAATACACAAATAAATAACCCTGAAGTATAATCCATGCAGCCTGTGGGAAATGAAATGGCTAGGTTTACTAATTCGACAACAACAACTGATGTGCTAATTGTGCCAATTTAAAGAAGACATTAATTATGCTCCATAAGACAAATATTTTCGTCCTTTTTAAATTACAATCTATAATTATATTTTATTCAACAATGGGATGAATCCCGAATCTCTGTGTACAAAATATACTTGTACAACGGCTTTCAATACTTTGAATATTAACATATTCTAACTACCTTTTAATATGTTAATCAAACAAACTAGAGTGAACTAAAAATGAGCTATTACTCCTCCCACTTTCCTAATTGCCATTCTTGTCCCTTTACTCTTAAATAACCATTGTTTCCAACACTTGCCGCCAGTCATTAAATAGTCTGTTAATTTATAAATACATGTTTCCACTTATTTATTGGATAATAGAGGTTGAAAAAAAGTAGTAAAATTATCTTATTAATTTGCATCTTTTAATCAGTCCCTTGTTTATCAATAATTTCAAAAACCTTTCGAATCCGAAATATGTAGAGTCATGATAAAAAGCTAATTGGAAAAATTCCTTTGAAAAGTTAACTATTTAAAATGTCTAAATAGCTTTCGCTCTCAACAAATTAAATAATTTCACGTCGACATTCAAAATGCGAATTGAGCAAAGAAATATTTTTCAGTTAGATTTCCACGACGACTTCACTCAAATTTCCGGAGCATAATAATTTGCGCTTGTTTCGTTTAAGATGGAGTACTTTCGGTTTATATCCAAACAATTGCCAGAGATTAAAAAAAGAGGAATAACCCAGTTTGGAAAGACTCTTATACACAAAAGTCAGCGGAAAAAGCGACGACGTATGGTAACTCTTACTTCAAAACGTATGATATATCCAACTTGTTTACCGATTCGCCAATTTTTCTCTTCAGCTACACGTGTAGCCAAACTTAATGCAGCTACACGCCTTGGCTGTGTCACAGCCATGGTAACTCCAAATGGATTAAAATTACTGGATTTTGAGTCCAACCAACCGGCTTCATAGACGTATTGAGGAAGTTGTGTAGACTTTCCGCTCCCAGTCTCTCCAGTAACGACTAAAACCCTGAAAGAAGATTAATATTGAAGCATCTACATTATTTATTCTTTATTTCAAACATAATCTATACTAAAAAGTGAATATTATGAACTATTAGTCAGATTTGATGACATGACTAGCTGGATTAGTGTAAATACTTGATAAAGCGTATAATCACAGCCAAATAAAAACAATAATGGACGTCTATTAAATATTTAAAGTACATCCATTGTATGATGACTATGTGAAAATAAACATATATCATGTGAACAAAACAAATGGTCAAATCATCACTGGAGATATCACTCGACTGCTCGAATGAAATTGTCCTCAAATTGATATATAACTTCATCTAAATGCGACCAATTCAAAGAGACTAATAGCTTAATTGTTGTAAAAGTGAATTCTTAAGGTGTGATGTAAATTCCATAAAAGGCAGCATGTAAATTACAAGCACTGTCTTTAAATTAGTACGTATTGTGATTAAAAACATAAGATTTTTCACAGTGTTCTTTTCGCTGTCTATTTTTTTCAACAGGTAACCCAGTCATCTAGTGTATGAATTTCTAAAATGGTAACAGTGAGAATAATTAACGCAAAGGCACTTGAAAATCGATTTTGCTACTACAATGTCACAGGATTAATCTGAAACAAATATAAAGCAATGAGCTGGTAATTGTAATTAGTGCACATCATCCCAAAAGGTTTTGCTATGAAACTATGGGTCATGTGGTTATTAGTCAATAGAAAGTAATTTTGGTCAGCTTAGAGGTAAAGACTTGATAATAAATAACAACTATGAAACATTAAAACAGTACCATAACAGATATACCAAACACAATAAAAAGTACACTTAAATGCAAAATAAATTTTATCATAACACAACAAAAATTCAAAGAATAATTAAGATGACCATAACTACCTGGAATTTTCAAGGAGATATAAGAACTGACTTCTTTTGGTGAAAACAGGAAGGTGTTGGCGTTGTTGCTCCACAGAATGGAAAGAATCAGAAGTCGAAAACTGTAGAATAGAGCTACCGCAACCCCCGTCCTCATTGGGTTCAGGCACTTCTTCTGACAGGTCGAAACCAAGTCTTTCTTCACTATCTGGATGGATAAAACGCAAGTTCATAACTGCAAACGTTATGTTTATTTTTCAAGATCTCGGCCTAACGCATGCCACAGGAGCTGAGTAAGAAATAAAGAGACAAGAATAAATGAGATTTGACATGAAAATCCACTGACAAAAAGTCTGTTAAGCTAGTGGGAACGACTGGGCAAATTAACATATAAGTTGACAACATAAAATGCTACTTAAGTCTATCATATTGACCCTTACCACGGTTTTAGAATAAGTATCTAGAATCAGTCGCCCACGGACAATGTAAGAATTGGATCCCCTTTACGAATACAACAGTAACCTCTTCCTTGGTTAATACCAAATCCGAGTTAATCATTAGTGAAAATTTTATAAATCATCATAGCGAAGATTACGGACTTGTCGTTAAAAAGAATGTAGGGACAGGATATGGTGAAGCAATGGCATCGTATATTATTGTGATTGAGAATGATATTACTTTAAAAATCGGACCAGTTATGTGATTTAACATGCTTATGTTCCGGAGAATACTTCCCGGGCTATTTTCCAAGTTTTAAAGGTGAAGATGCTAATGAAATGATAGGACTCGTTCTGAGGAATATATTGTGTAATGGTTCTTTCAAAGTCAGAAATTTTTGGTCATCAATCAAACTGTGGTAGGCGACATTACACTACAATACATGAATCATAGGGATCAGATGAGTAGTGTTAATAGTATACATAATAATGCCGAACACTATCAAGAAGCTGGACAAAAATAGTACATAAACCATACGGATCACGAAGGTATCATTAACGATATATTTGTTAGTAAAATACAAACAGTTGTCTAGAACTGCTTTTGTTTAGATAGTTTTTACTGATTTATTAGATTCACATGCAATCTGACACAAGTGAGCAATAAAAATATACGCGGTACACAAATAAGATAACACTGCGAAAAAACAAAGGGGAGTAGAGGAATAGGATCTGAGGCATTTTTGGTCCCATCGTGATGTTAGCCTGGTTGTAGCAAGTCCGGTTTACGAGTAAGTGAGAACAGTTCTGCCCTATACTTGTGAAACCTGAACTCTCCAAGGATGTTAAACATTTCGTGTTTGGTCACCGTTGTCTCTAAAAGTGTTGATAGCCAGCGCTAACACCATGTTAATACAGCTGAAACTCAGCAATTTGCGTTCGGGCATAGTGACGATAATTCAGTCGGTGTCACCATCTTGGAACACTGACTACGGTAACTAGAGCATATCGTTTTAGCGACATCTACCTATGACTGGAAATTTTAGACGACACCGGCCGAAATTTGTGCTCATTCTTTAAATTTTCCCAAGATCCTAACGTGATGGCTTTAATCACTTGCATTTTTAGATTAAATCCTTGTTTAGCCTTCACTATCGTCGATACACATATTTAGATGTCCATTTACCTTTTGTGAAAACCAAGTTCAGTGAACTAGGCATTTGTATGGATGAGCCAGTTCTTATTTATAACAGACTGAGCACCACTTCAATGATTCGAAGGCAACTCTATTAAATATCCGCAGTGATGCTGCCTTCCCACAACGGGGAGTTAGGAAGGGTCGATCCCGAAACTGACACCCCAGTTTCTCCTAAAGTTTCCGTTCCTAGTCGTAAGGTCTGAAACTACTCACCAAAAAGTCATGTGGCCGGCCTCAAGAAAGCGTCCATTGAGCGCTGCGACCATATTCCCAAAGTCCTCTTCTGTTCAGGTCTACAGTGTAAACGACCAGGAATCGGTAACAATCTTTGTATGTTCAACAACAATTGAACCTTACGAAGACAATTAAAATTAATCTAAGCACCAGAACATAAGGTGGAAATTCTTATGAAATAGCACTTATTCTTGGCAAATGCTGTCCAGTAATAGTGATTCACATCTAACTACGCTAAGCATCAATTTACTCAAGAAATATGGAATCTATTCATGTCTTCGATAGCAATATGGTCATACCCGTCTATTTTCCTTTAAAGTTATCAGCATTTAAGGTCTCTCTGGCTTATCTTATGAAAACAAACTGAGACGTCTCAACTTGTTTCCGTTATCTTATCACAGGTTACGAGGTGAATTAATACTGGCTTACGGTATACTGAACGATAATCTTGGTATCATGTTTTACCTTTTTCCACTTTAGACTATTATCTGGGAGGACATTCCAACAAATTTCAAAAAACCGAGGTCAAATAGTTTACGTCTAGAGTCCCGTTTCTTGCACAGAGTAGTGAATCACTGGAATTCTCTACCAGAACACGTAATATCAGAACCTTCTACAGATACTTTCAAAGACAGATTGGATCTCCACAGCAGTACAAATTGCAGTGATTCACAAGCCTCGGCTGACCTTATATCCCTACTATTGAAGACTGATGTATGTGACATGCTAATATTTTATTTCAACATAAATACAGGTACATAGATGCACCAAATATATGTACGCCACATTTCGTCATTCGATTTGTGTGAGGGATGGAATACTGCCCGAACGCCAAACCCATGCAGGTGGTTTTCTAAGGGGGCCACACCCCAAGCCCTCGACCTAGAGGTTTAACCCATAAGACAGTGGAGCAACGTTAGGAGATGCAGCCCTATGATAGCCGGTGACCAACAATAGGTTCATACGCCATTTGTTCCCTCAGGATCCTGGAGTCCATGTGCACCACTGGTTTAAAATTAAGGATTTCCAACACCCCTGAGTAGATCTTCTGTACCCATCGACCCGGCTAAAGCGCCGGACATTCGCTGTTCGTTCTCTCAATTTCGTAAACAACACAAGGTGAGTAGGACTCTCCTTGTAATGTCTGTATACGCGTGACCGTAAGAGAGTATTTCAAAAGGGAGGGCTGATTTTGTCCACCCTCGGACGTACCAGTACATTTGGATCTAGATAACTTGATTAAGATGCTGCGGTGGGTTGTGCTCGAGTTTTGGCTTGATGATCATATGCTAACGGACATGGCAAGCGAAAAAAAACAGACGAAGACCTATGGGGCTTAAACCGCCGTAGCACAACTCCAAATCGATTGTTAGGAACTATTCTACGACAATAAAAATTATGGCGGCCGCTTGTATTTTACTCACAACAAAACGAAATTAGGGATACCTGGACGCGGTTTGTGCAAAGATACTTCCTATAGTCCTGGTTCGAGTAACCGTATTTAGTCACGACGATATTGTAAATTGTGATCGTAGAGTTAGCAAAGTTTTGGGAGGGTGTAATAACTGAACTTTGACTTTTCAATACGCAACCTTTCGCGTGTGATTGGTGTACTGGTATTTGTATGATCATTATCCATAATTTCAGACTAAGCAATAAAAGGTGCGGATCAAAAAGCACCCTAAATAGGGACTTTTAAATAATCCTAGATGACTAACAACCTACAGTCGAACAGTGATCACCGTGTCAGATTTTTTGAAAGACCTGGGGACACTTATTACGTGATACTTTTCCTGACCAGTTAATTACAGTAAATGAACATAAATAACTGGTCCATGGAACTGACTTGAAATAATAATAATAATGCTAAGTACTATGGATTACCTATAAAATTTGAAAGCTCAGCGACTGGGATTTATGAGGGAGTTCTGCTTGAATAACTGGGCTACCCATTTCTGCCATCCAGATATTCCATCAAGTTACCTGTTTTTCGATTTCAACAGATCATCATGTCAATTAATTGCACAACCTAGTCGGGTGAGTTTGTGAAAACCCGAGCTCCTAACTTTGGGGAAAACTTGGATTTTCCCAAAGTTGGGATCTTTGGAAGGTGACGACCTTTCGCTGTACAAGTTAGGGAAGAGCACAATCAGAAACATTGTGGTTGCTGGTAATATACATAAAAAATAATGTACATTATTCAGATGTCGATTTATAAACTACTAACTTTTAGTTGGCGATCACATTAATTATCATCGAGACCAACCAAGGAATAAGAAAAGGAAACTTTTTGAAATACTTTGCACTGAGAACTCTATATTGTACCAAAAATATGATAATATATTATTACGTTTCGTGTTATTATCTTCATAAAGCCAATAATAATAATTACATCACAGGACTAGCGGCTCTTTATTACTTTGCAAGCAGAATTTAAAAACTACTTTATACCAAAAAAGTTCGAATATTATTGGACATATAATATACATTTTATAGATAACCAAGTAATCAAAGACAATAAGCAAAGCATGAACAAAAACGCCTCAGGGGTATCGTCGCCTTTGAAAATTGTTGAGCACTTGAAGGTCAAAGAATCGTAAAATGATTGCTGCGTCACCTCGACAATTAGTAAGGCTTTATAGAATTGGTCATATCAAGAAAATTTTAGATTTGATCTGAGTTCAGCCACATTATGTCTGATAACATCAATCCTTCAAGTAACTAAAAGGACGCCATCGTAATGATGTGTGATATAAGACGAACTTTTAATGATATTATATTATCACGACGATAGCAGTGGATCACCGTTACCTTCAGCTAGGAACCTAGGTATAATATCGATAAAAGAAGAAATAGAGATCAGTAAACCATATTGAGATACTATCCTTAGTCCTTAAGAATATGTCAAGTTTCCTCTTTATGGACTCCTGGGAAGTCTCTTGGACTGGCACAGCCGAAGACGAATTTCAGCATCTGACTACTCTTAAGGAGTAGCAGGTTGGTCTACATTTTGTTCTGCTGTGTTTTGTCTCCACTTTCTTGGTATTACCCCTTAGGTTTGTGTCTGAACTTAACTTAAGTAGGTGTTCAAGAAGATGCCCAGAAGTGTTGAATATGCTGTAAGCCATTAAAATGTCACCTCTGAGACGCCTGTACTTCTACAGGTAGATGTTCAGCTGTTGAAAGCGCTATTCATAAGGCTTGAATTTGAGTTACCGAACTGATTTCGTGACTTGATGTTGGATACGCTTCAGAGTGTCCAAATCCTTTTGGAGTGGAAGAGAAAATAGTATGTTACTGTACTCTAAATGGGGAAATGGAAAGTTCTTCCGTCAATTTGACCCAAACTCGCTTCAATGTTACCAGTGCAAGGTTTGTTCGAAAGGCATTTTCGTCGCAGTTAGCGTAAGACTTCAAGTTGTAGGGCACCGGGGCTCCTGAATCTTTTTCGACTTTAGACACTTCTAGAAGGGAATTTCCCAAGTTGTGGCTGTAGTTTGCAGCATGTCTCAGATTGACTACTTTACAGTTTGAAATGTTAGAGGTAGATCCGTTATCGCCTGCCCAACTTCGAAGTCGAGTCAGATCCTCCTGAAGTCCCAGTATGTCCTCTTGGTTGCGTACGTCTATCCCAAGTTTCACATCACATGTAAAAAGTAATAAACCTGACAATACCTGTTGTGGAAGACCGTTTATATAAATCATGAAAAGTACAGGTCCTAGTACTGAACTCCGGGAGACCCCACTAGGACATCCCATAACTTGAGAGAAAATGAAGTTAACCGTGACCTTAAAATGTCGATTTTTTGGATATGAAGTGAGCCCATCAATTAGATGTGATTTAATACCCGATCGTTTGAGCTTATTGATAAGACATATATTTTTGACCCCATCAATAGCTTTTGAGAAGTCAAGGAAAATGATGTCAACCCTCCCCTTGCGATCGAGGATGTTGTCCATCTGTTCACCGCAGTCAGCGGGTTCGTTATACAAGAGTGACCTTTTCTGAAATCCTGCTACTGACGTGAAAAGAAGTTTATGGATAACAAATAGTCGTGTATACTGTGGCGTACCAGGAATTCCACAATTTTTACGAGTATAGAGAGAAGTCATACAGGTTAATAGCTTGAGGTTTCGCTGCGTCGATCTCCTTTGAAAATTGGCGTGATGTCAGCCAGCTTCCGAATTTCCGCTAATATGCCTCGGCTTGGCGAATGTTAGGACATCATGCTAAGTGGTGTTGCCAAGATTGAAGTTGCTTCCCTCAGTATAGCAGAGTGAACCATATCCGGATCAGGAGAAGTGTCCTTGTTTAGGTGCCGAAGTTTCCGATACACCACATCAGCGCTCAGGTTCATTTCAGAATGTCCCGTACAATTGCAGATGAAGCTTTCATCAATATGGTCAGTATGGATCGGTTTAAATGTCCGAAAGTACTGTTCAGTCAGAAGATCAGTAGCGTCACCGTCGCTATCGCCCGGGCCGTTAGGACCTAGCAGTTGCGAAACTCCAGATTCTGCTTGTCGAGGAAAGGCTGCGTAACAGAATAAGCCTTTCGTATTAGAGACTAATTGATCGATAAGCTTTATATCTCACTGAAGCCTGTTTTCTACCATTGCCTTTGTGCATATGCTCCTTATTTGTTTGTATTGCTTGTGTGCGCCGTTGCCACCAGTTCGTTTTTATTCCGCACAGCAGTGATTTTCGCGGCCTAGCAGGCGAAGAGTTCGGTTCTTGATTACTGTAGTTTGCTTGTCGTTTTTGGGGACCGTTCGGGGAACAGATTACTTTGTAGCACATAAGAGCA